CAGAACCCCCCAAGAACACGGGGAACCCCCCCCTGGAACTGCCCCCAGAACCTGGGGACCCCCCCCAAAACACGGGGAAACCCCCTGGAACTCCCCCCAAAACACGGGGAACCCCCCAAGAACACGGGGAACCCCCCCCGGAACACGGGGAACCCCCCCCGGAACACCCCAAAACCTGAGGAACCCCCCCACGAAAATCTCGGATCGAAGTTCCCACGGAGCTGCCAAGGTGGGGATGGACCCGGCCCAAAATATGGGGGAGTCACCCCAAAATGTGGGGGGCATGGACCCCAAAATATGGGGGAGTCACCCCAAAATATGGGGGAGTCACCCCAAAATATGGGGGGAGTCACCCCAAAATCTGGGAGGTGTGGACCCCAAAATCAGGGGGGGGTGGACCCCAAAATATGGGGGAGCCACTCTAGAATCTGGGGGGGTCACCCCAAAATCTGGGGGGGAGTCACCCCAAAATCTGGGAAGTGTGGACCCCGAAATCAGGGGGGGACGGACCCCGAAGTGTGGGGGGGGGACACCCCAAAATCTTGGGGACCCCTCCCCAAAAACGCAGCGGGACCATCCCAAAAGCTCCCTGGGAATGGGGTGGGGGATCCCGGGATTTGGGGGGGGACCCTAAAATTTGGGGGGGACCCCTCCCCCCCCCAGCCCTTAAAAAACGCGGGGGGACATCCCCAAAGGAGGGGGAGTGGGACAGGAATCCCTGAAGGGTGGGAGGGCACCCCAAAAACGGGGGCACCCCCCGAGAGGAAAGGGACACCCCAAAAAAACCGGGACCACCCCCATGGGGATTCCTCCCCCCCACCCCCCAAAATTGGGGGACACCTCCCCTCCCCCACCCCCCCAAATTTGGGGATTCCCCCCCCCCCTCTTTTTTGGGGGGGGCACCTCTTTATTGGGGACCCCCCCCCCCAAAAGGGTCTTGTGTCCCCCCCTTTTCTTTGGGGGGCTCTGGCAGAGGCGCGGGGACCCCCCCTCAAATTAAAAAACGAAGAGGGGGTGTCCCGACCCCCACCCAAAAAAGGGGGGGCCCCCCAAAAGCGCCCCTCCCCCTCCCCTATTTATATATATGTATAAATGTCTATTAGCGCCCCCCATCTCTGCCTGGGGGGGGGGGGGGGGCGATTTTGGGGTGGGGGGGGTCCCTAATTTGGGGTGGGGGGGAGGGGACCCCCCCCCCTCAACCCGATTTTTTGGGGGGGGGGATCGGCCGAAATTTGCCCCCCCCCCCCCCCCTCACCGGGACCACCCCTCACTCCCCTCCCCTCCCCCCCTCGAGGGGAACTTGTATATAAATTTGGGGGGGGGAGGGGGAGGGGCAGCCATGGGGGGAGGGGTCAAAGTGTAGGGGGGGGAGGGGCTCAGCGAAAATGGGGAGGGGTCCCCAA